CTTCCACATTGCTATAGATGGATCTGGGAGGCTTTTTTCCATCCCAGTCTAATATTTATCAAATGAGTCAGCCTTCCTCAGCTGTGTATGGATATATTACTGATGTTATAATAGGTTAAAGTGTTCCCAGGCTGGCTTTTAAATTAGAAATATTGATTTCCAGAGACTTCAGCATAACACCTGATAGTTATTTATAAAATGCAATAGCTGGTCTGTGTTTGCCTGGAAGTGTTCATGTCCCTTAGGTCCATGGTCCTCCATTGTTTATAGGACTCATTCTAAAGGTCTAGAGTTTTAAGACATAAATATGTCCTCAAACCTGCAGAGATCCTTGCTTGCTTGCCTTTTTCTAGTAAAAAGGGGTCTGTGCAGAGAGATGACATTTTGCGGTAACAACCTTAATTAGGAAACAATTTATCCTGGAGAAAGTGTTCCAATAAGTTTGACAGTTCTGTTGCAAAATGTGTTGTCAGCAGAGCTTGGTAACTGATGAGTTTGGAAACATCCAAGTGTAATGTTTCTCACCAGCTCTGGCAGGCTTCCTTGCTTTAAAGTGTAGATTCTTTCATTCATATGATTACCAGCAAAGTGTGGGAGGAGTTCAGAACTGCTCTCTTACCTTGGAAAGGGACTGTATGCTCTGCTGTCTTTAATGTTTAAGTCACAAATAATGGATGTCAGAAGCTTGGAAGGAAAAACATAGGAAAAAAATCACTTATTACCCTTTCCACATTAGCTCTTGCTCCAGGTTTAATCCCTGAAACTAAAGAACTCCAAACTAATTCTGCCCTCCTAGTGTGGGTTGTGATGCTTTCTTCATCTCAGCGCAGACAATTAATAAATGGGATTTGAGACCTATTTTGTTCCAGCATCACTGCCATTTTTCAGTATGTGAACCTTGCTGTGCCTTACATAAAACTGTTCTCTTGCTTCTGGTAAAGGCACTGTCAGAACCTTTTGAGCACCTTTTTGAGCTATAGTTCAATAGATAAAGTTAGTTCAGGAGAGTGAAGGGAGGGAATATGAAAGCATAATTTTACATGTAATTTTTCATAAGAACTAGATGACTATGAGGCATTCATTGCATTTTTATTCTTTTTTCAATCAAAAGGAGTTTGATTTTTTCATTTAAATCTTTTCTCCAGCTTCATCTTCAAACATGAATGTGGGTAGCTACTGTGTACAAGAAGTCCTTAGAATTAATCAGTGCTTTGGTTTGTACACAGACTGTGGAAATAGTAGTGAACTGTCAGCCCGTTCTATCCCAAAAAATTAAAACCAGTCATCATATTTTATCCAATTAACTTGTGCATTGCTGAAGTTAATTTCACTCTTAGCACACACTGTATCTAGAGTGTGTCTTGCTTCTCTGAGGCATCTTAAAGCTGTTCTGTGGTTTCTTACCTAAGTTTTTACTTTTTAAAACAGAATGATCTGGATCTGATGCAAACAGCAACCAAACTAGACTGTAGTCATTGTTTTATTAGGATCCACCTTGTAATTTAGACCAGTGGGTAGCTTTTTGTATTTCATATTTGTGGTTTGTTTGGGTTTTTTTAACTTCTGTCATACAAATTTTTGGCAGAAAATAGGTGGCTAGGGTACATGTAAGATAAATCTTTTATGGGTTTCTGTTCTAAGGTAAAGCTTATAGTATTTGTATCATGGGATTTATGCCAGCATAGATTGTCATCTGCTATTGACCTAGGAAGGGAAGAAGTGGGTTTACATTGCAGCTAGACAGTTTGTGGTTAGACAAAGTTGCTGATAACGTACAGTGAAAAAACACATTGGGGAGAGACAGTGCAGAATATCTGTGATTAGAGGCATGGAAGAATGTGTTGCACCAGCACCCAACAGACCTGCTTTGGCTTAGTGCTGTCCTTGGTGGTACTTGCCCAAGCACCTGCAGGCTCTGGCTGTGGGTGGGAAGACAGGGTTGAGGACAAGCATGGGGATATGGGCACTGCTAGCAGCACTTCTAAGGGTGCAGGTTAGAAAGGTGAGGGTTTGTGCAACTTGTTATTGAAGCTCAGACTTTGTAAAGGCCACCGTTCCTGTTCTGCAGGCATGTTCACCTACCACAAGGACTCACATTAATCAGCAGCTTTAAGTGTGATAACTATTCTGAATTCCGGTTGGTTGGAGCTGTATCCTTTTACATCTGCTAGACAGTGCTAAACAAGCAGCCATTTAAAGAGCTGGTACGAGGATGAAATAAGGCATTGATTAGAGCTCATTCAGATGTTTTATACACAAGTGTGTTTCATCTTAAATGTATAAAAAGAATGCTTTTCAAGAAAGTAAATTAAAAATAAGGAAGAAAATGGTGTTATGTGGGTACATGGTACATCATACAGTCAGAAAATATTAGAATGAAAATTACATGTGCAATTTTTTTCTGTGTATAAATTGGAATTTTTTTACATACTTAACACCTCTGAGTTTCATTCAGCAAAAATAAATGACCCTGTATGCATTAATATTTTAGGTACTCATTGATCAGTATGGGGCCTTTTTTACTGAATGGAAACCACACGCTATCTTGAGCATTTCTTGGGTTTTCTGTTGTGCTCACTTATTAAGTCCTCAGACAAATGGTTAATGATAATATATGCTTATAAGTTCACTTAAAATGAGATTATCATGTCCCCATTTCACTGACTGCATTTGGACCAGATGATCATTCTGACTGAAGTATTCTATTCTAGTGAGAAGTTGAATCCTGAACTGGTTTATTCTAATTTTTCAAGTTTGTTTCGCCAGATACTTAAATGTGCTAGCTGCTGAGCTGCAGTGCCAGTGCAGGTTTGTCTTTCTGCTTTTAGATTTATGTAAAAGAAAAATTATTATATTGATTTCTCTGTAGATTTTTTTTACTAAAAACATGTATCTACAGTTCTATATTAAAACATTTTTCATAACAATACATTGAAACAATTTATTCTATAAATGCCTGTATAGAATATTATGAGGAAGACTCAAGTGTTCTGTCAATATGCATAATTTGACTGTTTTACTGCTTAATTGTTATTAAAAAACTGCATATAAAATTACCAGTCAAAAAAAATTTAAAAATATATATTTATTCTCTTTGTTTAGTATGTATTTGAGTGTGCTGCATAAAATTTTAAAATATTTTTTCCAAATTACTTAAAACATTAGTTCTAATAAGGTTGTGTGGAGTTTGCCCTTAACATTTGACATGTATAGCTTATGGGACTTGCTGTATATAATAGCATCACCTTGGATATTCGGTTCCCACCTTGCTGTTACAAGAAATTATTGAGTCCTCCCATTGTTCCCTGTGATCATAACACACTTGTAGGCATCTGTGATGTCACACTAGATGACCTGTTTCAGATCATGCCTGTAAGTATTACAGTTTTTTAAGAGGCTAAATTACTGATTTAAAACCTGTTTTACTTATATTTAATGATTGAATTGCAAACTGTTTGAAAACAGCCTTTTTTTAGCACAGGGTGATAAAGTTTCTATCTGTTGAAAACAGGAATTCTCTGTGTTTTCTAGCATAGCAGTGTTTCTTTGATCTACTTAAATTTAGAATACTGAAATCTAATATGAGCGTTCTAGAGACATTTTCTGTCTCTAAGACAGAAAACATGAAAAAAGAGAAAAGTAACAGTTTATACTGAAATAACAATAAGTATACATATTAATTAAGCTGTGAGTATTTCTCTGTGTATGCATTTTGCATAAATACAGCTTTTTCTAAGATACTTTCTGTATTAAATAATGATACTTGCATGTCCTTGCAATGTACATCACTTAATTTTGTAGACTGACTAATGAGTTTTTACTCATATTGTAGGAACTGGCCCATGGACTAAGTGAACTTCTATTCTATGAAGGCAATGTTGAAGAGGATTTTTACTCAACCTTTCAGGTAATTAAATACACAATTGTAAATTATTCTCTTAACTCATTCAGTAATTTTTACCAATGCTTCTGCAATGGAGTGGCCTTACTACTGTGTGATTACCAATTGTTTGGGATGTAATTACATGGGCTTTGAAGTTTGCTTCAGGAACCAGCCTAGTCCTGGGGGTCAGGGCACACAGACGCTGTCTCAGTTATGGGACATTAAGCTGTTGTCCCTTGGCAGTGCAGGGGGGTCCAGGTTCTGCCTGCAGGGTTGTGTGGCCACCTGCTTGTGCATTTCCAGCTCTTTGCTTGCTCTGACACCATCATCTTGCAAAGAGTGACCTGGGTCATGGAATTCATCTGACTGCAAAACAATCTATTTTCTGTCTAACCCAGAGGTTAGTCAGAGTTTACTGTGCTGATTTTATCTGCTTTTATATGCTTTTCCAGGAAATCTCACTTGAACAATAGGTTGTTCAACTTAGGATAGTTTTGCCATACCTGTATGTCTAACTGCTACTTCAATCAAGAAAGACATTTTTAGTTTATGCATTGTTTTATGACACCTACTGGGTAGTAAAATTTCATGCTGGTTTATAGATGTGCATTGGACTCATATTGACTTTCTTTTCCTCAGCTTTGAATTACATTATTGTCAGACCATGTGGAAATTTTTGTAAAGCAGCTACTTTTGAATTCCTAGTGAGCTATGGTGGAACAAATACCTTCTTAATTGTATGTGATGCTCTTAAATTGTTCTCTTGTATGCAAAACTGTGGCTTCCAAACCTGCAGGTTTGTTCAATATGCCACTCTGTAACAGAATCAATTTTTCTACTTTAAATACCAATTTCTTGAGCAATTTGTTGAAAATCAAAATATTTAGCTTTTTTAAATGCCACAACCATCAGAATTATAGCATGTACTAAAGAAAGAGACCAGGGAAATACATGACACAATAAATACAAGCTTTTTGATTTTTCAATATGTGAATGCATTTTCCAGTACTGACCTTGGCTCCTCTTTTTCTTTAGGTTTTTCAGGAAGAATTTGGTGTTATAAAATCTTACAACTTAAAGCCAAATGGAGATAAAATTGCAGTCACAAATCAGAATAGGAAAGGTACTTCAATACATATTAACTGCACAGTTTGGTAGATTAAAGTTTATCCTTTTTTTCCTGCTTATCAATCTAGCTTTTGTTTAACCAAGCGTGAAACTGAAATTACTATAGTCCTTTCTGGTATGCCTACCAATTTAATTGTATCTAAAATGAAATTCATTCATTTTTCTTAATTCAGTACACTCAATTTGAGAGAGCACAAAAAAGGATAATTTAAAGTTATCATGATGTAACAAAATGTTTTGGTTTTTTTTCTTTAGAGTATGTGCAGCTCTATGTTGATTTTCTTCTCAACAAAACAATCTACAAACAATTTGCAGCTTTCTATTATGGATTTCATAGTGTCTGTGCTTCGTATGCATTACTGGTAAGAAAAAAATGAAACAGAACTCTTCTGTTTCAAATATGCAACTGACACCTAAATTAAACAAATTACATTGGATGATTTTAGGATTCATGAGGAATCTTGATTAATCAATGTAGAGAAACCTGGTCTAGTGGGAGGTGTTGCTTCCCATGCAGGGGGGTTGGAACTAGGTGATCTCTAGGGTCCCTTCCAACCCAAACCATTCTGTGGTTCTATGATTCTATAAGTAGAAGGAACAGATGAGCAACTATTCTCTACAGTGTTCCATTGAAAACAGATAAATAAAGCTCCACAAGTTTATCAATATGCATTCTGCATTCAGCGACACTTCACAGGCTCTTGTGTGAATGTTTACATGGATTTTCTGTATTTCCTGCAGTTGTGAGCAGCAGAGTAACTATGCCTGCTGTGTCTTGAGTGACTCCTCTGAAAACATCAATTACTTTTTGCAGGAAGAAAACGCAGTGTAGTTGAGTTTAAACATTCTTTCGTATCCTGTCCTGTTTGGCTGTTGGAATGCCTTTTGTAATTTACACCATCTTTTTTTTCTTTTTTTGCATGAGATTTTCTTAATTTCTCTTAAATTAGCCAAGTATGACACACTTGCAGCAAAGTCAGATGTTACTAATTGCAGGGAAGGTTCTGAAAGGAGAATGAAAATCCACTGAAATGCCATGACATACTTTGGTGCCATTTAGTGATGTAGCACATGAATAAATAGGTTCCACAGGTGTAAGCTTAGCAGTTGTTACACGTGCTTTATTATTATGTGTATTTGCTTTGCACAGCAATGTGTAAAGCTGAGTCAAGTTCTGTCAGCCACTGCCATTCATCAACCTACACTGACACTTTCCACTGTCAATGAAATGGAAGTTGTAACCAAAATTGAGATCAAGACCATCCTTCTGAAGTCCCAATGTACAAGCTTAATTTTCTTCCTGACCCGTTTGTAATTTAATCAGATGACAAGCAAGTCAGTGTAATAAATGTAAGAGTGCAAAAGAAATGAACAACAAAAATATGCTAAAATCTTGTTATCCATTAAATTCCTTTTTACTATATACAGTAGTGAGAGATTCTTCAAAGTAATGAGGACTTAGTTGCTCTCTGAAACAGTATGTGTCTAAGTTATAGATGTATATCTAATGAGATTCTGATATTTTTTCTCTAATGCCAAAAGAAAAAAATACTCTAGTAGCATTATTTCTCATCTTTAAAAAAATAAAGATTTTATCCTTAATTTCTGGCAGCTACTTCGTCCAGAAGAGGTTGAAATTCTTGTCTGTGGCAGTCCTGAGCTGGATATGTCTGCTTTACAGCGAAGTACCCAATATGAGGGCTACCAAAAAAATGATCTTACTATAAGGTAGGCTTAGGTTTTTTCATTTTAATTACTGAGTTTAAGAACATCATAGAATGAGAGACTGTTAGGAATAATCTCGTCAAGGATAATCTGAGAATGACTGAAATGTTAAGACATTATTTCCAAATAAGACAAAGACACCATTAAATTATCTCTAAATAGGAAGAGTTAGATCCTTAAAGGTACTATGTCCTGCTGAATGCTTTTAAAAGGTTATGATCGATTGAAATAGTTTAAAAAGAGTAGCTTCAGATCCTGTATAGTGAAATCTGAGTCTTTCTTATCCAGTCTAAAATTCTTTCAAAGTTCTAACTGTATTTGATACTAAGGAATTTATATCAAGAGAGTAGAAGGCATTTTTTTTTTATATAGAAAAGTGGGTTTGGGAATCATTTGAGAAAACACCATTCCAAAATTGATAAAACATTGCACTTGTCAAGTCCTTAGGAATTTATTTAACCTTGCATATTAGGATACTACCGATGTCCTGTGTAGTGCATAATTAAAAGTCTAAATAAGTGACTTCCATCATATGGTACTTGTGGTTGTATTATTCTCACACTTCTTTGTCATGATACTGTATCTTACACCATATTCTTCTCCTTATGCCTTGAACATAGGTACTTTTGGGATGTAGTACTTGCATTTTCTCTTGACCTTCAAAAGAAGCTGCTGCATTTTGCTACAGGAAGTGATAGAGTACCTGTGGGAGGAATGGCTGATTTGAATTTCAAAATTTCAAAGAGTGAAACGTCCACTAATTGGTAAGTAGTTTTCTGGATTTTTTTTTTTTTTTTTTGTGGAATTATTTCCTGAGAACCCTTATAACACTTGAATGTCTTATTAAAGAAGGACAAGCTAATGTATAAGGAAGAAGCTGCATAGGCTCCTTTAGTTTGTCCTCACAATGTTGTTATACCCATTTATTTATTGCATAAATTTTGCAAGTGACCCTCTAACATAAAGTTAATTCTCCAGCCAGTATTTACACTTGAGGCCAAGAATTCTTATAGGGATTCCTTGTGTGTTACCAGTTAAAATAAAGTATTTCTTTAATTGTTCTTAACACGACAGCTGAGCTAATGGATATATCTGTGAATCATGAATTTTCCTGAGTTCATTGAGTCTGTTTGCCATTATGTATAGCAGTTTCAGAAAACACATTCTTTCTTGATGGCCTTAATAAATATTGTAACATGTATGACTGGAGAAGATGTAGTATTCCTTTAAGGTCTTTGTTGAGTAACTATATAGCTGGTAAAGAGTTTGCTCAGAAGAAATAAGAACTAAGCAGCCTTATCATTTCATTGTCAAAGTTGAATTGTGTATTCCAACTTATTCTTATGTTTCTGGTAGTGTTTTATTTTGTATTAAGTTGACTTGAGAAATTCCACACACTGCATTACACATTACAGCTAGTATTTTTCTTCTTAAGATTGGAGAAAGTATGTGATATTTCTAATGCTTTATTCAATGAATAAATAATAACTGTTTCCAGTAACATGTTAAAGGAACATGAGGATCTGATGAAAAATGAAGAAAAATAGTCAATGTTGATTCTCTGTTTAAATTCATTCTCTTGTAAATTGTTTTTTTTCTTAAAAATGGGAGTGTGTTTTGAAGTTGTGTGCATTTTGAAGTTATGCAGGTCTATGTTTTGCAAGATAATTGCTGCAGTCAGTCTGCCTGTGCAGCAAGGAACATGGACATGTTGGCAATGCATTGTTCCCACAGTAGGATCAAAGAATAGAATAGCAATAAGAATTGCCAAATTAATATCCAGTTTCTCAACTTTCCAAATTCTGAAGCACATGTCCCCAGTCTGTTTAACAGATCTTTTCTTGCTGGTATAATGGGCAGGGAGAGGGAATTATCTTGGGTTTCCAGATCTGGGAGAATCCTGCCCCCTTTCAAAAATGCTTGCTAATGACCAAAGGCTAAGCTGCTTGCAAAATCTGGAAGGACATGTTCCCAACTTAACAAAAAAGAAAGGGGAAGGGGTGTTGCAGACAAATTAACCTGAGGTGCATGTGACCAACAGTGGTGTTACTTGGGTTCAACAGAACCTGAACCAGCAACATTAGGATAAATGTTACTTTTACAGGGTTTCTATGATTTCTTATTTAAATAATGTTTAACTGCAAATGTGTAAGCAGTTGGCAGTGTTCTGCTCTTACTGCATTATTATTAAATGCATTTTGTTGGGTTTTTTTAAAATTACTTCAGGTTACCTGTGGCCCATACCTGCTTCAACCAGCTTTGTCTCCCTCCTTACAAGAACAAGAAGGAACTGAAGCAGAAGTTGATCATTGGAATTTCAAATGCAGAGGGTTTTGGTCTAGAATAAAATTAAATACTTAAAGAACAGCATCTTTATGTAGCATTCACTCTCTTCTAATTGTGCCTTTAAGCTTTTTGTTGTTATGTCTCTTGATACTGTGGCAGTCTTACCCAACTTAGATATTTTAATTTTTTTAAATTAAATGTTAAGTGTATGGTTTTTTCCAAATGGCAATACATTTACTGCTTGCTTTGTCACAGAAAGTAGTTTTCTTTATAAAAAAAGCTGGTCTATTTGATAAACAGAACCTGACTGGGACAATTTCTAAGTTATGGTTTGTTTCTGTTTCTTCTTAATAGCACTTTATCATTAATCATAAATCCTTTACATCACAGGTATTGCACTGGGAGATAACACACAGAATATTTCTTTCTTAGCCAATCCCAGTGGCAGAATCTTTTCAATTAACATAAACAACAGAAACAAAATTAACATACAGCATGTAGCCATATTTTCAGAAAGGCAAATAGGAATTTTAATCTTTTTAAAACATATGCAGTTTTAATACTCTGATTTTCCTTCTCAACGAAGCAGGCTGTCTAAGCAGCATGTAAATAACAGCCTGTGAACAAACAGGGTTTTGATAGTGCCATTTACCTAAAAGTATTTTTTATGAATAAGAGGTTTTAGATGTTCTATATTCAGCTTTTACATATCAACAGGCTTGACTGTACAAGGGTGTTAAAAGGTATTTTTTCAGCTTGAGGGGATTCAGGTAGAAATAACAGGTATTAAGCAACTTGTATGTTCACTCCTTGACAGGAAACTAATGAGATCTACTGTAGCGTTATAGTACACAAAACTAAATACTGCAAATAAGTTCCACATATGCTGAAATATTTCAGGAAAAGAGTGAAATCCATGACAGGTGGAAATCTGATATAGTGTATCATGCTATCATTTTTTTTTCAGCAACTTTGTTGAAAGTCTTAAGTAAGCTATGACAAAAAGTGAATGCAATAACATTTCAGAAGAATGTTCAAGCTTTCATTATCTCAAAGGCCAGCATTTAAAGACAATGTTTTGCGGTTTTCACTGCACAAAGTACCTGAAAAGAATTCTTGGTACGCCTTCTCTGAGCTAGTAAATTAGATGCTGGGAAGGAAACTCGTTCTAAAATGCAGATGTAACAATAACCTGGGGTTTAGACATTAAATGGAAAGAATTTATCAGCACTACAGTATTTTTTTTTTTAATATTAATCGCTACTCTGTGTTCTATAGAATTTTTCTCTCAGTTGCATGAGGCCCAGATCATTCAAAACATCTTGACATCTAATTCTCAGCTTTCCCTATGGACTTATGCTGGGGCATGGATGTTTATATCTTATAGTGTCTTTACTCAATTACTTATTTGCAATAACAGTAAAATGTTACTCTTATTTTTCATCTCTGTATTATTTACATACAGCCAACAGATGTTGATGATGGACCTGCTAATCTGTCTGATCCATAGTTTCAAAGCTGTTGTGGATCTTCTTCAATAGCTGAGTTTAAATTTTCCTTTATCCTATTTCGTAGAGAGAGTAATGGTGATTTCACTCTTTAATTAAAGCAGAGATAAATAGTAGAATATTTTTTAAATATTTGGCACTGTATTCATTATGGTCTCCTTAAAACCCGTAACAAAATTTCTGTAAACTTCAGCCTGGAACAAACCTAGGTTAGCACTGAGAATGTCAAAAGCAGCACTTGAAACTTGTGCATTTTACATTGTTTCTTCTGAACTGAGATTTTTTAAACAAACTTTAATTTGCAGGGTTTCAGATGTTAAGATATAAATGAAACTGTCACCATTGCACTGAATGAACTAGTTAGCTTCAAACAAAGTTAAATTTCTGGCAGCTGAATGTGGATGGAAGTAAGACATCTGGAAACAAACACCTCCGCCCTTTTCCCTCTCTGTAGAATTGGATTCATGGAAGTTTGGCTAATGAATAAATAGCTATACAGTTTATCTGAAAACACGGCAAATTAGCCAAAATATTTTTGTATGGCTTAAGCCCACTTTTAGTAACTATTTATCTATTATTGTTGAAAAAAAAGCTTTATCTTATTTTCACTGAATAGCACTTTGCCTTGGGTTTAATTTTATTTATTGAAGCTTTTTTGACTTACTGTGTAATATTACCTCAGAATTCTATAAATGCTATTGTATTTGCATCAGTTTTTAAACAAGATAGTAATTCAATGACATTTTATATATTTCCTGATGTTGATAAATAGTACATTTTGTATTTGTTAAATTGAAGCATTGCACTGTATTTATGAAATAAGTCTCCAGCAATTCTAAAACTTTTCCTCAGTGATGTTTTGTTGTTCTTTTGTCTTTCCTTGTAACCCAGAACATTTTTTAACTCCATTATTGTTTTTTACTGTACAAAAGATATCTGGCTTGTTTCAACATGTTCATTACTAAGTATCTATTTTTATGTATTAAAATTGTGCAGTCATTAAATCAAATATTTCAAATTCTGGCCTCATTTGTTTAATTTCAGATTTCCAAAACTGACCATAATGAGTTTAAAAATATGATCAATGTATTTGCTTTTGTCTTATTTTTCTATTGAGAAGTTTTCTTTACCATAACATTTTTGCTAGAACATGTTGGGGTTCACTGAAAAAAAGCACTGAGTTTCAACAACCAGATATACACCCAGAAGTATATTCCATATTTATTGTCAAAATTTGTGTATAATAGCATGGATCCTTATATTAATTTTCCTTTTTGTTCCTCAGCTGCGTGATTACTTTGAGGTACAAGGAGAGCCAAGCCAAGCTGTTATGTACTTTACCTTTTTTCTGACTAATTTTAATAACACTAAAATTGGGAGAGACAGGTAACAAGAGCACCATGCTTTTTCATGGACAAAGGTCCTGATCTCAGGACTGATAACTGACCAGATTAAAATTTGATTCCTGTCTCGCTGGTACCACTGAAGTTACCTACAGATGGCAGCAAAGATGAGGATTGAAATCACTTAATTAAATGTCAGACTTTCCTCTTAAATAACCTTAGATATTGTAATGAAAAATAATGAATAAAAAAAGTTAAAATACATATCCAAGATTGTCCAGATTTGCAAAATCAGCAAATATAAATTGGCTTCTAGCAAACAGATACAGAGTTGCAGTTGTATCCTGTCTAGCCTTGGGTTTTGAAAACGTCTTCTCTTTCAATTACGAGTTCCCTAATGTGTATTGGGATCAATAAAAGACTCTTCCAAAACCTCAAAGAGAAGAGATTGATAGTTATTGATTTCTGAACAGTCAATAGCCTCAAGACTGACATTTAGAAAGAGGTTAGAAAACAGCATCCCTTGTCCCATTCCAAGTAGGGATCAGATGGCTGGTGCTGGGGCTTAAAATTGAAATACAGTATTTCCTTTTCATTTTTGGCCAAAAGCAGTGAGGTTCCTTCTCTGTTGTTGTAGTTGGTGGTGGTGGTACTGATTGATTTGCTCCAAAACCAAATTCTATATTTGCTGTCATTTTTAATAGCTATGACATTTAATTTTTTTTCAGAATTCTTCCCTGAAAAAAAAAAAAAAAAAAAAAATCTTAAAGATCTGTGAAAGCCTCTGTTTTCATGTCCTGACTGCCAGACTGTGGAAGAACATATGTTTCTCTCCTAGAGCACCTAGTTCTCTTCCAATAAAATCACTTTTTATTTGGGTCAAGTAATTTTCCATTCTACTTGATTTTTTTTTTCCTTCAGAATCTGTGCTGCTGTATGTGTCGCTGTACTTCTAGAGATGTGTAGTGTCTTAAGAAAATAATAACAGGATGATTTAGACTGCCACAGCTGTTTCACGTGTGTTAGAAATGTTACAATTCATAACGAAGTGGGTTTTGTTCTTAAATTAATCAACAAAAATGGTGTACCAGAGATCTTCACCTTTCAGATAGTTAATTAAATTCTTTGAAGTCTTTGAACCTCAATGTCTTTATGTAAAATATAACATTGTAATTGGTATGGCAAGGTTTAATATAGTTTGATATAGTGTGTTCACAGCTGTAGAATGGATATTTGATTTTAAAATAGCTTGTTCTACAAACTAAATTTAGGAAAGAACTCTGAGGTCTAGGAAGACAGAGATTTTGTCTCTGAGGATCTGGCAGAGTAGTTGATCATTAAACTCTGGAAGGGTGGGAGAAGTTCATGTAGGTTGGGCAGCACCTAACAGAGATCAGTTCAGCACTATTCTGCAGTCCTAACATTTAATAATACTTATATGCATAAGAATATGATACATCCATTAATGATTTTGTTGCATATTTCAGGAGTTTTATGTTCTTCGTTTACCATTTTTCTTTTTGGCATCAATATTTATGACTTGATATTTGTCGTGCATGATGAACAGACTTTTTGCTTTCTAATGCAATATTTTCTTATCATGAGAGTTGTCCTGGATTATGTAGATGTATGAGGGTCAGGTTTAATTTATGGGCTTCTTGTTTACATAGTATCTTAACTCTTTGGCATGCTTTTTTAATAACCAGGAGAAATGTTTCTCATCTCAGAGTCCTTGGTATCTTCACACTAGCATCTCTGGCTGCTACCACACTATGGATAGTAACAGTCCAGCCTCCTCTGGTCCCTGTAGGCATTATCAGAACAGAACTATTTGTAAGTACCTGTAAGTTATTCAGAACATCTTGTCAATGAGTGAGTTGACTAGATGTACACTCAAGCTCTTTACTCTAGTGGAGAGTTAAACTTCTTGTTTATTTTGCTATTCATTTTATGCCAGTAGCAATACTGTGGAGGGTGGAACTGAGTTTGGTCTCCTGGAAAATCAGTCCAGCTGGATATAAAGTAGCTAAAGTACAATGATTTTGAATATAGTGTGGTTTAAACTCAAATATATGGGTCTTGGTTTTGTTTGGTTTCTAGTGATTGTGTAACCTCACATGCCTTATTTTTGAGGACTGTGGTGGCAGCATGTGTACTGCTTAGGGGTTTTAATTGTTGGCCTTGATTGGTAGGACAGGTGGGTAGATGGGCCAGTACCATACAATGCTACAGTGAGCAGAGAAGGCACTCAAATTTTTCATCTCACTCGTCTACTCTACTGAAGGATCTTTTCCCAAATCTTTCTGGATGGAAGAGTATTCTGCTTAGATTTTAAAATTCCCTGACAAGACATTTTCTGTGATACTAAATAAATCATATTGACTGTTAAGCATTCCACTTCATTAACAGAAAAA